AATACATATAAGAAATATGAAAGTCATGGCTCCACTTAATCAAAAGTAATGAACAAGGTTAAAGTTTTTGCGGACAAACAGACAGACAGACAGGCGGACAGACACGACAAAAACTATATACCCCCGAAACTTCGTTTACGGGGGCAAAAAATATTTTTCTACATCTAAGTTAACGTACAGAAATCTTTGGGGTTTTTTGTTCTTTACAATGACCTTGACCTGTCCTTCCCTCTAATATAAAACGGCCGAATTTAATTTCCCTGATACCATCACTTTATGATATTGTCTTCTTGAATCTGTGAATTTCATTTACTTTTAGATACAAGAAAAATTAGGAGAATCCTACCTTATGTTGTTTTTGCCCATAAGCACTTGATATTTTTTTACAGCCTGGAAATTATTACATGTACATATATTTCCGCGACAGCAAATCAGAGAAAACAGTTAATCTTTGTCCGACCAATAAGGATGACTTCGAGAGAGCTTCAAAAAGGATGAATTGTGAGGCACTGGGAGAGAAACACAGCCGTACCGAGAAATCCAATTTTAAATACCATTGCGTCATAAATAAATTAGAAGACGAGATGGTTGAAGTGTGTGCTCCTGCAGTTTTTATCAACGGTACACTAGGAATATACATGAAATTATTTGTATTGAATTTTAATCGATATTTTCATTGAAAGAACTTTGTTTAATTGATTTTCATTTGAAGGATACTGCGCAGAATTTGATAGCTCTAGTGGCAGAATTCAAGAACATCTTTTTCTAAGGAACGGTAGCTTTGCAAAACGCTTCACTGGTCGCTATGTATCAACAGATGCTTATAAATGTAAGCAGATATTTTTCATTTAACCTCAAATACACCAAAACTATAAATGGTATAATTGCACATTTAATTGATCTTCTCTTGTTTAGCTGTTATATGTACATGTAAATGTATTGAGTAAATATGATATATAATTTGCTAAGTTTAATATACTCAAATTATTGACAAATACATGTAAAGCAAACAAAAATGTACACCCTGATGTGATATCAAAGGGTTTTCTCGCAAAAATATAATTTAAATATATTCTAAATACCTTTTGAAAAAAAGTTATTACAAAAAAGGTTATAAAAATATTGTAGAGTTAAAATGTTTTGAAAATAAATATTTTCTACGATGAATCTATTTCTTTCAAAATGGAACGAGGATAACTACATATAGCCTCAATTGTGTTTCTTAATTATAAAAAAAATCTCAAGATGTAAACCACAGTTCATACAATTTTATATAGCAACAAGTAAATGTAACTTGTCATTTGTTATATTTCATTCTAAAAAGACTGACCTTTTGAAGAAGGTGGCAACCTTCGTAATTTTAACTGAAGATTTAAGGAAGGTTGGAAGGTTGAAGCACCTTAAGAAAAAATATAAATGATATGCTTATAATTAAAGATGTATTTTGAATCAAATTTCTCCTGATAATTCCTCTTTATTTTGAATGTGTATTGTTCTATAGCAATCTATACTATCATAAAAATATTTTTTTATTATTATTTGAAAAATCTGGTATCAGAGCTAGCATTTCTTTCAAAACTTATTAAACAATGACAATCACCTTGCAATACTTCCGCCAAAATTGATTCAAAGCTAGAGAAAATGTTGATTGCAATTTGTAGCTATTAAATATATTAACAATTAGCTCATTATCTGCAAACATACTTGTAAAGGGATAAAAGCTAAATATCGATCAAAGAGTAATATATTGACTAACAGACGGAGAAGCAGTTGTACAGCCTTAGAGTTTGTATAGAGTCCACTCCCTTTTATCAAGAAGGAACTTAATCTTTTTCTTATTACTTTCACTCATTTCATTTAATAAACATACAGAATGTTAGATTAATATTAATGTTTTAATTATCTTCAGATCCGAATTGCTACTCACTCGTGATCGATGCACGCGACTCTCGTTCGTTCAAGTAAGTGGGCATAGGAGGAGAAGGAAAAATGAAGGATATAGTAAATGTAATTTAATCTGAGTGAAATGGACATTAGTTCTAAATATATATCTTTAGAGTTCAATCGAGGCTTCCATTTCAGGATTCATGAAGGTTTTGTATGTGGTGTGCTTATAGTATTTCTTTGGAAGATGATGAAAATTGGGATTCGTGAGTACTGTTCTATCATACATGTAGCATTTATCAAAATATTTTGGATGGATGACTCTTAACTCAGCTTGATGATACTAAATCTTCTAATGAATTCTCAAATCGCAGTACAGTTAAAGCCGCTTAACCCGAAACAGGCACATATTATCTTACACAATAAAAGTACTGCATTACATAGATAATGTATAAAAAGAAATTATGAGATTGATTTGATAGTTTATTACAACAATCTTTACATGGAAAACGCAGATCAAAACCTTATTGACAAACAGTAGTTCCTGACGGAAGTTAAGATCTGTTATGAAGTCAATTATGAAAAAATAAGTTTATCGGATATATCTAATAACGAAGATAATTCAAATCCGAGTATTTTTCCCCTATATTAGTAGAAGCCTTAGTCATAATACATCTTTTCAATGTTAAGTAATCCATAGTATTTTTATATTAATATGCATATTTAAAGAATAAAGGAAGATCAGATATTTTAAATAATTTTTTGAAAGGAGCTAAAATATTGTCCGTGAACAGGTTACATATATATATGTTTTTATTGTGAAAAAAATGCTCGGGTTCGTTTTTCATGTGATAAACATGTAAGCGATAAATTTAATTTTTCTAAGGTGATTTCACGCAATATCAACAATGATCAACATAGGATTATTTTTGTGTGACCTAACAAAAATCATTTTTTTTTTAACTTTAAAATTTTGATATCTTTTAAAAGAAAAGGACTCTGGGGATGTAATTTGCCAAAAGTTGAAACAATTTATGGACAATCATTTTTCAAGAAGAAAATCGATTATATATTTTTAGCGATTAGAATCGGACCAAACGGCTTTAAGGTTTACAATTGGAAATATCGGCGATGTTTTACACATTAAAAAATATTTGAATAGATGGGTGATTCTTTAAGGACTTAACCGATATCATAGAAATGTAATAATATAGTTCAAATCTAAATGTTGAAAACATTTGGAATTTTATATGGACTTGTCATGTGATGTCGGTGCCACCTGATTTTAGCAAATATTCTTACACTTTCGAGGTAATCTATAAATTCCAATTTTGCAAGAACATAACCAAGTTAAAAATTTTAATTTAAGTCGTAATTCTTTTCAACATCACATGAACTTCGTGAAAGGTACTGCGAGCCTGCAAAGATTCCACTATATATATAACCTTGACATCAATGTACTAGTTACTTACAATTTTGCTTTCAATTTGCAATACTTACCTGTCAAAGCCAAAAAAATTGTAATCGAATGTGTAATTACTCGACCGTGACCGTTTTTTGTTAAAAAGCATGGAGTTCGAGTTCCACATGATTTTCAGGTGTTCTTTATATTTTTTACTTCCATATGTTCTCCATCTTTAATTGATCACGAAAAACAGAAAAAAGTTTGATTAGAATGCGGTATATATATGTACACAGAACAATGTGAAGTTGAAATGGTCCAAGCTGGCTCGTGGTTAACGAGAGTTCGGTTTCCTTTCACTGTATGACTTTATTTTCCTTAAAACCTTTATAATTATCGCCCAAAAACCCTACAAAGCATACTGTAAAATCCCATATTTTCGTGGGGTCAAATTTTCGTGGTTTGAGGAAAATTTCTTGGTTCGTGGGGATTTGATTTCGTGGATCAAGAATTAATGAGTACTAATGTGTGTGAAATTTTACATTTCGTTGTGGACATGAATTCGTGGGTTTTGTCATACCACGAAAACAACGAAAATTAAACCCCCACGAAAATTTGTGATTCCACAGTACCCGAATTCCTTATTTTCATGAAAAATCGCTAGATTTTCAACAAACACAACAAAATAATTCTTTTTCTGGAAAAATCAATGGATCCAGAACCGCAAGTGCCCTCCCCTCAATGTCAAAGTGGGGGAGTGGAGTACACATGTAATAAGACATTATGTAACTTTTGTTAGAAAGGTAATGGCAATTTCGGTAAGACCCCTTTTCATCCTAATCTCAATATTTATGAAATTCCGATGTTAGTTGAAAGATCGGGGTTCTCTATATTAAGGTCCTTTTATAATTAGGGATCTAAAGTCTTCTTTATTAACTATAATTACGTCACCTGAATTAACGTTAGTTACAGTGATAAGGTGAAGAAGAATTTACACACTATGGAAAGTTATGTTTTACGAGTAAAACATTGATTCTTTGATTTACTTTGAAACTTTACTCTAGAACTGAAAGCTTTGAAAATATCTTGAATTCGATAACAGTTAATGAGAAGTTGATAAAAAAGTATGTTAATTTACAAATAATAGTTCCATTTAATATAAAAAATTTGCATGTATGAATTGAAGAAAAAATATCACAATTAATAATTTAATAAGTAATCCATAGAAAATAATGAACTTACTATAGTAGAAAAACTTTAATACAATGGTAAACTATGGTTAAATATAGAAGTATAGAAGGTATAGTTAACTGTAATTCTAGTATTTTATAGGGGTATACTTAATTCTGAAAAAAAATATAAAAGAGGTTTGTCAAAACGTACACGGGATTCATTATGTCATCCAGTCTTTATGCAGATTTTTTGAAAGCATTGATTTAATCTCATGTATAATAATAAAATGATTCAAATATTTACCAAATATTGCTTTTTTCTAATCTATTCAAGGTAGAAATGGCTTTCTAGAACACATCACATTAATGTATAAACGTAAGTAAAGGATGATTCTTGAACTAGTTTGAAAAAAAAATGAAATTTCTCTAATGTTTCTACAATGTTATCATACACAGCTGTTTAGCTTTATTTGAAAAAAAAAATAAAGGGGTATCAAATTAGAAGTGCTTGCATCATCAACTCTTTATTCCAAAAATGATTTAAAACACAATATCAAACTTACATCTTTACGTATAATTATACGTAGAATGGAATCATCATAGATATTACAAGAAGGGGAAATCTGGTGATGATCATCAGGACCAAAGTTTCACAGGTGAGCATTGTAACCAATGAGACTCTCGATCCTATCATTTTGTTCTAAAAGAACTCCTTTTAACGACAGGAAGAATTTTAATTTCAAATTAAAGAAACTACAGAAAAACAAGGTAGACAAGAGGATAGAAGCTCTAGCCGAATCAAAATCAAAAGATGCAGGACAATATGACATCACTACACGTACCATATCGTAGTCACCAGTTTTTATGATGTCAGTTTCTCGACTAAAACACTCCCGGTATTCAGTTTCTATAAACAAATCTGCAACTGGCGTGTGTAGACAACTAGCGTCTTTTGCCATCATTCCGGAAACGATGTAGATACATGAAATCTATAGATGGAGATTACAAGTTGTAGCTAGTGAAGCTCAAAAATATATTCAAACAATGAATATTATGGGCAAAGCTAACAAGGACCCCAAAACATCAGCAGTCTGATCAGGTACAATGTAGGAATGAGCATGTCTTGTAAATCGATTAAACCTGCATGTGCTCCTTGACATGATCGAGAAATAACCGAAAAATCCGAAGACGGTTATTCAGTGGTTAAATAACGCACTAAAATAAGTATGAAAACATCAGTCAGCTTTTGTCTTAATGATAGACTGTATTTGCTGACAAAGTCATTATGCAATAAACGATGGATATTCATTATAAAATGTTAACTTATCTAGGTTGCAAGAAGGCAGAGTTAGAAATTACTAGTAGTGGGATATATATATTGGTCACAGAAAAGTGTGTTTGCTCAAAATACACTATGGATTCGAACAAAGAAATGTTCAGCTATCATGGTACAACTATGACAGTCTTTTCTTTACCTATAAGTACTCACACTGTAGATTTATTTTGCAGGTTAGCTATTTGCATGATTAAAAACAACTTCTGGTCCACTAAAAAAATATTACATTTTACCTTAGATTTATAATATCCTGTCATATTGTATACAATTATTGAGATTATATGTGGTCAATAAAATGCTTGAACCACTTAAGAAGCAAACAATTCACCGAGCCCGAGAGAAGATGTGAATATTGTACTTTAAAAGTCGCTTAATAGTGTTTATTAATTTTTGTTCTTAAGCAAAACTGATTTATTATATTATTAAACGAAAAAAGCTATTCATTTCCTCTTCAGGGCCAGCGTTTTTTAAATAATTATAAGGTTGGTTGGTTGGTTGTATACTGTTAAACGTCCCTCTCCAGAAAATTTCACTGATATGGAGACGTCACCATTGCCGGTGAAGGGCTGCAAATTTGGCCCTATGCTCGGCACTCAGGGCCATTGAGCAGGGAAGGATCTTTATCGTGCCACACCTGCTGTGACACGGGGCCTCGGTTTATACGATCTCATCCGAAGGACCCCATTTAGTCGCCTTTTACGATAAGCAAGGGGGTACTAAGGACCTATTCTAACCCGGATCCCCAATAAAGACTTTTATTTTGGGGGATGGACCGCATATTTTCTACATTATTGGACCTCAGCCAATTAGAAACAGTTAGAGAGAGAAATAATTCTATCATATTGAAATGAAAGATATTACTTCAGTTCATATTCTTTTGCCCTTTTTAAAAACCATTTTGAAAACTGATGGAGGGGGCGTTTTGGATTTGGAGCAGAACTACTAGCAATTAATCTTTTTTTTTTCCTTTTTGTTTGCATTTTTTGCAGAAATTGAGTCGATGATTATCAGCATTTTCAATGATGCATATGAAAAAGAGGAATGGGAAAATTTCAATTCTATGTATTATAGATTACTTCTACGTGAGGTAAATTTATCGGGAAACACAGAAAATTTTCTTTTTTTAGTTTTTCATTTTAAATCAAAAATAAATAAAGAATATTTGGTTTCAATTATAGCGATTGTTTAGTATCCATCATAGCCTTAATAATGATTTATCTAATGAAGTAAAGGTATTATTAACGTTTGTAAAATTACCCCAAACGTTTTTTTTTCAACTTATGTATCAATTCATTAATCTCTTTATAAAATCACGTCCCTTTCTTTGAAATAAAATTACAAAAAAAAATCCTTACCTTGATGTTTTCAACAAAACAGAATAAAAAATTTCTGAATTTCTCCTCGTTTGCATTCTGTAGATTGGTTTTTTTGATATACCACGCAGTTACATGATGGATTTATACCGTTTTGTTGAAAGGAACATTGGACCGACCGTTAAGAAAGTGTATTATGGCTTTTGTCTACAAAGAAAACAGTCTGTTATAGTTATTGTAATAGACAACGTATTCTGCGACAAAAAGAAGACTACAACGTACAAAGGACTACCGATTTTATATAAGCAATGGATAGCAATGACGGAAGAATCCCTAAAAACAAGGAAATACGAACGTTATGAAGATTCACCCACTTTCAACGAAGATGTCCATGCAAAACTCCACCAATGTATGAGGCGAAATAGTGCGATATTAATGAGGTCACATTCTAATATCGAAATTATCGGTGCATCTCCATACCGATCAATGGAAAAGGGAAAAAGGATTCGAAACGAGAACTGTATTTTGATCTACTGCACTATGAAGAATGTGATTCCTTTAGGAGAAACGTTCTTTGCTGAGAACCTAGGGGAATTTAGAATTGATATTCGAGAAGGATTCTTTTATACATACCCAAGAAGCATGGATGCTCCACTAGACCCTAAGGATCGTCATTCAGAATTAAAGATCGGAGCAGAAATAAGCAGAGAAGGTGATTTTGTATTTGATTCTTAAAGTCCTGGCCCCGGGATCATGAAACATCTTAGCTTAAGTAGAAAAATGTTTAGATGCAGCCCAAAATGAAAATGCTTTCCAATTTTGATCATCAGTCTGTTGTCATATGCAAATTAAGAGTTTCCTTTAACAAGTTTTTTAAGATTTTATAAATGATAGAAATTTTGACTTAAGTCTAAGTCTGTTTCATTATCATTGGGCCTGATCTTTGAATAGAGCAAACATACATGTATCTTTATTTTCCTATCAAATAACTTAAGTGATATTGTAAGTGAAATACATACATTTTTTTCATTTTTTGATTCAAAAGAGAGACGATAGATTTGTTTGAAATTCTTACTCGTATTTCTAGTAATTGTATCAAAAACTTAATTGTTTTCGCATATAATTTATTTCCTGAAAGAAAGGGATTTTAAAATATTCTTACTAGTAAAGCAAATTAATTGTGTGTATCATTAGGACTTTAGGCTAAACGCTGCATTGCTTCAAAACACTTTGATCAACCTCGGATGTGAATAGTGTTCTAATATTTTGCTGACTCAGTTATGGGATCTTATTTGAATTTCCCCTAAATACGCATGCTCTACCTTTGAAATCTGCATTATTCAAATTTATGGTACGCCCAACTATCTGTTTCTGAAATATTGCTATCTTATGGCTGTAATGAAAACTAATATGCAATGAAGAATTAGACAATTTTTTTTAAAAAAATTCTGCAGATCGACAAACAATGAGATGAGTTACAGGCAGTTTTTGGCGAAGCTATCAATCCGACTCGAAGCTTGATTGCTTGATTATATACTGTTTAACGTCCCTCTCCAGAATATTTCACTGATATGGAGACGTCACCATTGCCGGTGAAGGGCTGCAAATTTAGGCCTTTGCTCGGCACTCAGGGCTTTTGAGCAGGGAGGGATCTTTATCGTGCCACACCTGCTGTGACACGGGGCCTCGGTTTATACGGTCTCATCCGAAGGACCGCCCCATTTAGTCGCCTTTTACGACAAGCAAGGGGGTACTGAAGACCTATTCTAACCCGGATCCCCACGGGGCCCGACTCGAAGCAATTCCTCCGCTAATTAATCACATTCAAGATTTCAATGAAGCGTGTAGCAAAGTCAGTCGAAGATTGCCAATTGTTCCAAAGAAGTACCCAGACATTACTTTCGACTAAATGCAGAAGAATATTAAATTGCACTTTATGTTCGTCTTGTGAAACGTTATACATGAACAACATTTGTAGATTGGAGATATTAAAATAATATTAGTTAGTTCAACTGTTCATGTAAACAATGTTTCTATCTAAAAGCATATGATCTCTGTATTTAACATAATTCTATATGTTTTGTAGATGGTAATTTAATTGGAACATTAGGGGGATTCGTGAATTTTGGGATAAGAAAAGAGATAGGATTCATAACTTGTGCCCATGTTATCCATGATGAGCCTGAAAAGATGATTGAAAATGACACTCGAGTTGTACAACCAAGCTCTGGACCGTCCTGGGAAAATAATGTGTGTGGTGTTGTTATTAAATCTGTTCATCCGAGGAGTTCCGATGCAACTACAGTTGATGCATCATTAGTGAAAGTAGACAGCTCGAGGAAACCAACTAGAATGTCATTCACTGGACTGGGAATGGACAAAATTGCAAAACTAAGTTAGTGTCCTTTGACTTTTTTTTATAGAACATTATACTTTTAACATAATTCATAATTTTTCAAGTTTAAAATAAATCTACAGATTCAATCTATTACAAAGATATTTTGGATACTTTATTTACTTCATGTTCGTTAGGTATTTTCTTTTCTGTACAGAATTTTCTCCCGATGAAATATACGAAGGTAAAATTCGGGAGGACGCCGCACTAAATGCATCATGCTACAAATTTGGGGCAACAACAAATTTCACGAGCGGTAAACTGGAATCACGGTTGTTAACTGCGATTCATCTATCTGACTTTAGAGATCCTGGTCAAAATTTTGAATACCATGATCAGTATACTGTATCAAGCATCTCTTCAGTATTTGCTGATCATGGAGACTCCGGGGCTTTTGTTTTTCAATGTATGGAAAACAGCGGGAAGAAATCTCTCGAATGCATTGGGATGGTCGTCGGAGGAACGTCTGATTTCAAAATAGTGGTTACACCAATAAGAGAAGTACTCAATGCTCTTGACTTGCATGATACAAAGAAACTGTGTACTTTCGAAGACGAGCAAATGGAGACGGATGTAACAGATGAAAAACCAACTTAAAAATCATTTTTTCGTTCTGTGTCGAATTTTAAATCACGTACAGTACTTTATTTTTGGTTACTTACAAAAAAATCCTTTCCTGAGAATAAATATTGAAACAAATCATCATTACAACATTGAACACTTAATTAACATAATCCTTTTTATTGCTATTGTTGTTGTTTTAGTTTCTTTGAAGGGTACTGATACATTGAAGGTTAAAGCCTTTACTGGGGATTTTGTATCTGTAATTTGGGATTTTGTTTCTGGAAAATGATAACCAAAGAGTATTTTCTATTTTTTTTAAGTACTGTTGCATTAATCATACAGAATAAAATTGTTTGTGAACAATCCAAAGTCCCTGACAAAAATCAAACTTCTTGAAATTTTCCTTAATTGTTTTTATTTTTCAAGGAAACCATTTACATGTTAGATCTGTGATATTTTATGTTTTTTTATTTTAATTATATCTGTGATCGGTTTACGTTTCTGTATTATAACTTTATCTGTTATATTTTTACGTCTCTACATTGTAACTACATGTATATCAGTTCTGTGATATGCTTACGTCTCCACATTTAAACTCTAAGATGTAAATTCGAGGGGTTTTCAAAAAGTTCGTGGACTAGCGCCATAAAATTAAAACTGCTTTAGGTACGTCAATAGATTTTAAAATATTTAGTTATCATCATCTTTTCTATCTTTAGAATAAACCACAAATCAGTAAAGTTTTTGTAAGCAATGGTATGTCCAGTATGGTTGCATATTTCTGCCCCTTGTGTGCAAGTTATTTTTCTATGAAATATGTCGACATGCAAGATAAATATGTTGACATGCAAGATAGTTATGTCAACATGCAACGTAAATATGTTGACATGCAAGAAAATTGCAATAAAATAAGTATTATGAAAAAATCTTCAAAAATCTCATATATCGCCCACATGTGACATCCAACATGCTAAATGCAACAACTTTCTGTTAACATGCAAGATAAATATGTCGACATGCAACTTATTTATGTCGACATGCAACTTATTTATGTTGACATGCAACTTATTTATGTCGACATGCTACTTATATATGTTAACATGCAACTTATTTATGTCGACATGCAACTTGGTTATGTTGAAATGCGAGATAAATATGTTGACATGCAACTTATAAGTTGCATGTCGACATAAATAAGTTGCATGTCAACATATTTATCTTGCATGTCAACATAACTAAATTGCATGCCAACATAGAAATGTCACATGTTTACATAAATAAGTTGTATTTCGACATAAATAAGTTTCATGTCAACATAAATAAGTTGCATGTCGACATAAATAAGTTGCATGTCGACATATTTATCTTGCATGTTAACATAAAGTAGTTGCATTTAGCATGTTGGATGTCACATGTGGGCGATATTTGAGATTTTTGAAGATTTTCTTAAAATACTTATTTGATTGCAATTTTCTTGCATGTCAATATATTTATGTTGCATGTTGACATAACTATCTTGCATGTCAACATATTTATCTTGCAAGTCGACATATCTGATAGACAAATAACTTGCACACAAGGGGCAGAAATATGCCACCATAGTCCAGGCGGCGCAACCTCGAAAACGACATTTTTTCGACCTAAGTGTAAGTAAGATAAAATATTTTGATTTGAAAATTTGACACCCCCAAATCCCGTTCATTCAGGTAGGTGTTGGGAAATTATTATTCCATAAAATGTGGATTTTTTACCTCATTCTGTGAGTTCTATGAAATTGTTTTGTAAATTTTTGTAAATTTTAAATGAAGTATCAAAACAAATATTGTCTAGCAAATGGCGTCAAAAGGGGGAGGGGTTTCCTTTTCCAATATTCTATATAGTTTCGCCCCTGAAAAACTGGTATACACCTAGGAAATGTTTAAACTAGGTACGGAGAAATAATTTGCATCCAGATTAGTTGTTTTATAATGCAAAAATAGATTCAGAGAGAAAAGGAATGCTTAATTAATGACGAATTGTAGTCAAGGTTTGGAAAATTTATCACGTCAAATAATGACATTGTTCATGTGTTTTAGCTATATAAAACTAAAATAATATGCTTGCACAATCAACTGAGGATCTCTCTCAATCTATAAAATTTAATGGATTTAATCCATTTGCAATGATTTATGCATTGAAAGCTGCTGTTCATGACATTGTTAAGTCATAAAGACAAGACAGCCTGAAGTCCTTACTCATTTCTAGGGAATCTCATCAAAATAAGTGTACGAGATAAACGAAGCGGACATTGAAAAATAAATAATGATGTTTTCGGGCGTCATTAAACTAAGTGGCGACGGCGCCGGGTGATCGTATAATGTCGTTTTTATTTTATAATAATTTGAGAAAAGTGTGCATTTCAAGCTGAAATTTTCAACATTTCTTTATTTTTTTTTTGTTAATTTATGTTCCCTGTAAATTTTGTAAACTCATACAACATATTACTAATTTTATAGCATCAGTCCACGAACTTTTTGATAACTCCTCGTAAAATGTACATTGTTGTATGTTTTTTTAATGAATTGTCATGATCATGTTTTGAAAAAAATACATTGTCTAAGAGAACAAAGTACGGTATTGGCCAAAAATGCCGGCTGTCAGACTTGCTCCGTTCAAAAAATTTTAAAAAGTTAAAAAAAAAATTAATCAAATGATATATAATTTGTATATCTTACTTAAATTTATGCATTGGAAAAATAACGATGAATACATTACCTTTTATAGCAGAACGTCGAGATTTTACGAAGAATTTTGACGCGACGTCATGAATACGTTAAAAGTGTAGTAAACGTAATCTGAAAATTCTAATTTACTGGCAAGACACAGTTTATATTACACTGTAAATATAAATTTAAGAAATTAAGTTTTTGATTTATTATTACTTCATTACTGTTTTTTTAATTTATTTATTATCATTATTACTTACAATGTAATCCTCCACGAAGGTGTCTCCGCTTTAGTTGATTAGAATTAAGGTCTTCAATCCCTAATAGAAAGAAATTCGATGAAATTGAAAACATAATTGTATTTATGTGAAGCATAAAGTAATTTATACCATTTCTATTGTAAAAATTTTTATTTTCTATATTCCGGATTTTGTTATGCCTCCAGTTAAGATTTTCGTCTTACTTTTCCACTAAGTCTAGTGTTTTCCTTGATGATGGAGTTCATTTAAATAGACAGGGGAACATCAAGTATTACAATAACATAAGGGCTGTTGTTGTTTCTGTTCTTAAATCTCTGCACAATGGTGGGTAAAGTTTATTTTGTATGCTATTCTCACTATTAAGTGGGGTGCTTCATAATACATACTTCATTGAAACAAACTCAATTTGTGTACAGATATGTTTAATTTAGTGTGTAAGGCACATTTTTTTAGTGTATTACCTCTAATTACATTGTATGAGGCTGTAACACAAGTTGCCTATTTAGTTCATATTTGACCTTTGAACTTTTAAGTTCAGGTCTTAACACCCCAATATGGTTGGGTTTTTTTCTGACATTAAATATGGATTTGGTATATTTTCCATCGGGTCTTCCATTTATACCTCTACATGGTTCGTGTTATTTTGCATCAGTGTTTTTTTATTAGTATGCACTTATTTTTGGAATAACCCACTGTGTTAGGTGTATTTCTTTGTGGGATTGATACTGTATATGGTTTGGGTTATTTAAATCCTATTTCTTTGGTCCCTTTCATGTTTTTTAATCAAGTCCCATCTTTTTGCCATTTTTAGTCATGTGTGTTTTTATTGTGTACATACTAAGAGTTCTACAGTGGACCTTCAGTTATCCGGACGCCAGATACCCGGATGCTTCAGTATCCGGACGATTTTTCATTTGAACGAAATTTTTAAATATTATTTTGTCTTGTTTAACTGGTGATTCAGATATTGCCTGGGAACCAAAGCGTCCGGATAAATGAGGGTCCACTGTATATGCATTGTTATTCTATATTAATTAGAGCAAATTTAAGATATGCATTTCATTTTTAGCTCACCTCAGCTGAAGGCTCAAGTGAGCTTTTCTGATCACATTTTGTCCAGCGTCCGTCTGTCCGTCTGTCTGTCAGTCTGTCTGTCTGTCTGTCTGTCCGTAAACTTTTCACATTTTCCACTTCTCAAGAACCGCTGAGCCAATTTCAACCAAACTTGCCACAAAGCATCTTGGGTGAAGGGGATTCAAGTTTATTCAAATGAAGTGCCACGCCCTTTTTCAAGGGGAGATAATTACGAAATAGAGAAAAATTAATGGCATTTTAAAAAAATCTTCTTCTGAAGAATCACTGGGCCAGCAAAGTTGAAACTCATGTAAAATCATCTTCAGATAGTGTAGATTCAGGTTTGTTCAAATCATGACCCCCGGAGCTAGGGTGGGGCCAAAATTGCTGACCCAAGTTTTACATCTATAGGAATATAGAGGAAAAATCTTTAAAAATCTTCTTCTCAAGAACCACTGGGCCAGGAAATATGAATCTCATGTGGAATCATCCTCAGGTATTGTAGATTCAAGTTTGTTCAAATCATGACCCCCGGGGCTAGGGTGGGGCCAAAATGGCCGACCCAAGTTTTACATAGGAATATATAGGAAAAATCTTCTTCTCAAGAACCACTGGGCCAGGAAAGATGAAATTCATGTGGAATCATCCACAGGTATTGTAGATTCAAGTTTGTTCAAATCATGACCCACTCGAGGCTAGGGTAAGGCCAAAATGGCCGACCCAAGTCTTACATAGTGATTTATTGGGAAACCTTTCAAAATCATCTTTTCAAGTACTTCAAAGCTATGATTAGTGTCATATAATATTAATATGGAATCATCTTCAGGTAGTGTAGATTCTAGTCTGTTCAAATCATGAGCCCCTGGGGGGTTAAAATTCAGCCCCCCCCCCCTCCCCACTCCCGTAAACTTTCAGTTCTGATCTGATATGTGCTTTTTCCTAGCCAATGTGCTCAGGTAAGCGTAGTGGCCCCTGGGCCTCTTGTTTATTGTATGT